AGTAAATTGATTTATGGCATGGTGAGTTGTTTGATGGATAGTAAAGTCTGACGAAAAGAGTCACTTTTGTTTAGAATGTTTGAGAAAGTCGCAATGAGTGCASGGCAAGAGATGTCKCAGAGTGGGTGACTGCTGGCTCTGATCAAGTCAGAGGTCACGGCCTGGTGGACCTAGCGGTGATTTTTGTTTGTGAGCGTGCGAAGGATGCCAGGCCTATTGTGGAAGGGTTGGTAACTGCCTTCAGACCCCTGCGTGATCACTCGGTGGACCAGTGATTTTGTTTTGCGACGCTCCGTCTAACCGCCTGTGCTAGTTCTGGGACATGTTGAAGGAAGGCCAAGCTAACGGACCGGTATCCCGCATCGGTGGGATGTTGGCGTACAATAACGAGTATGGGAAAACGCCGTGGTACTCTCGAATGAGGTCACGAACTGCGGGCTTCAGGTCGGCCGTATAGCGTGCGAGTTCCTTAGCGTCAGCGTCAGCGCGCGACAGGGGGGTGGACTCAACGGACGACGGAGGGAGGGAAGTAGAGATGGGAGCCATGGAGATAGAAGAAGGATCTGGCTCCAGAGAGATGAGCTCGGTGTCGGGACAGGGTGGATCATAGTGCAAGGGATCCGTAACGTTCACCTTAAAGAAGGTGACGTCGTCCTGTTGGATGAAGTGAGCGAACTGCCGAGGCGAGGTGACGGTGATAGTAGGAGATGGTGTGGGCACGGAAGGATCCGGGGGAGGAGGGTCAGGGCGTGGTGTCGCGGTGGTACCTATGAAAGGTACGTGATACGTCTGTCCACACTTCGTTTTGAGAATGAGAGCGTTGGTCGTCCAATTGGCCTCGGTGCTGAGGAACCAACGAGACCACGGAGTACCGAGAATGAAATCGTACCCCGTCTCCATCGCATCGAAATGTGCAGAGGAGCGGTGGCGACGAGACGCTAGGGGACGATCATTCGGCTTGAGAGTGAGGAAGAAAGGGAGGTCGGCGACCGTCTGATCAAAGAAGTGTTGGGTCTTGTCATCTCCTAGGGTGACGGAGATGGGAGTCGGAGACCCGGTCGTGGGTAAGCAGGTTTCTTTCACCACACGTGGGTGAATGAAGTCGCCCTGAGAACCGGAATCCCACAACGCTAAGTACACCCTCGGGGAGGTCCCCAGTCGTACTGGGCCTGGAACATGCTCAAGTCCAGAAAGGAGGACACAACGTCCTCGCGAGTCGCAAGATGCTCGCTGCAACGGGCGGAGCGAGTGGCTCCACACATCTATAGTTGCGGAGAGGTAGGAGGGGAGACGGTGGTCTGCGGAGGCGCATACGGTACTGCGACAGAGGGCTGAGTGCACTCTGTTGGGTCCTACGATACTTCAACTCCAGTCGCGAGAGGGGCAAACCTCGACAGAGATGTAGGGAAGCCGAGTACTGAGGAGGGCGCAGGTGTACACTGCATCGTGGCTAGGAGGCGCCGCGGGGATGCGAGGCGTCGGGGGGGGACCGAGCACTACGCTGACGAGAGAGCTCAACGTACTGGCGGTCAAGGGCGACGGTGTAAGGGCACCGCGAGGAGGTATGATCGTTCTGGCGGCAGTGCAAACACCCACGTCGGCCCAAGATGATCGCGTGATTCTCGATGGAAAGGACACCGCGAGGAGGGAGAAAGCCCTGAGGGAGGTCCTGCTGAGGGACCTCAGGGGGCGACGCGCCAGCGTGACCAGAGCGGCTGCGTGCCCGGGAGAGGGTGGAGAGGGCGAGATGGAGACGCTCGACTATAGGGACGGTAGAGTCCTCTAGGTGGTAGTGGACGACCTCGTAGAGGTCGAGGTCGTTGCTATGGTCACCCTCAGGCGACAGCGGGGCAACAGCGTTTTGCTCACCATACTCGAGCGCGCTGAAGCGACACGAGAAGTGGCAGCCCTGCTGTGTGGAACGACGGGGACGACCGTGGAAAGGAGAACGGCACTGGGAAGTGTCGTAAGAGGCGGAGAGAGCGTAGCCAGTACGCTGGGATTGGGAGGAGGACGGACCCTCATCCGCTCATGAGCCTTGGCGGCCTCGTAAGCCTGCGGGGCCAATGTGAAGTCATACCGCCATAACTCAGAGCGGTACTCAAGGGGAAAGCTGACCAAGAAGCGATCAATAAGGGCAGCCTCAGGGAGGAACGCCACATCACAAATGAGGCGGGCGTCCTGAAAGACCTGGATGAGCCGGACCAGCATGTAGTGACGACACGCTCGAAGGCATCAATCACGTCATGTCGGGCTCCGAAGCGATCCTCGAGTAACGCCTGAAAATCCATGAAGGTCGGGGTCCGACCCTCACAAACGGAGTGAGTGTAGAAATCCTCCCAGGCGTCGAAAGGACCGCCGCACAGGCGCGTGGAGAGGTGAGTCACCCACGTGTCGGCTGGGATGCCCATGAGCTGGAGCGTGCGGGTGGCAGACTGCAGCCACCGAGACACGTGTATCCCTGTACCGTCATACAAGGCAATGTCCGTCAAGCGGATGAGTGGTGCACCACCGTTTTAGCGGAGAGGAGATCGACGAGCAGAGGTCTGCGCTACGGCCGAGTAAGTCGGCGCAGGTCCTGGAGAAGGGGGCACAACTGACTGTACACCCGGGCCGCATGGTGGAGCGGCGGGGGCAACAACGATAGGCTGTGAGGGAGTTGCGGTAGAAGAGGTCGCAGCAGCCGAGGGAGTAGGAAGGAGGTAGGATAGGGGTGGAGGGGGTACACAGCAGGGGAAGCGAGCCTGCATGGATGAAAGAGGAGAGGAAGAAAGGGGTGCGCCCGAAGGCGTAAGAGGGCGAGGTCGGCCTGAAGGGTAGGGGTGGCTGAAGGCGTAAGAGGGCGAGGTCGGCCTGGGTCTGGGCAAGCTCGTCCTCAAGACGTCGAACGTAGATCGGGAGAGGAGTAGCAGGAGGAAGATTGGGGGAAGTGGAAGTACGAGTGGCGCGAGGCATCCCATGAGGGGGAGAGACAGGTGGCATTGTGGTCGTGCGAAGGGAAGGGAGAAGCGGAGCACCCAAAAAAAATGAGACTGCGGCAGAGGGTTGTGGTCCTGTGGCCGTAGTGACCGAAATTTCGTCAGGTTTGCCCGTAAGGTGAGGGAAGGCCTGGTCCATGGCGACCGTTGCGCTAGGAGCGTGGATGAGCGCCAGGATGGTCGGTTCGGCGGCAGCAGAGGAGGAAGCTCCGCTGTGGCCACCATGTTAGAGAACGGGGGACCCGGACTGGGAGGCAAGGGAAGAAAGAGAGTGCGGAGAGAAAGGACGGTCAACGTCCTGGAGTTGCCGCACGCCAGCGGCAAGAGTCGCCACCTGCGCCTGTAAGGGCACAAGGAGGGAAGTGAGGAGGGTGTGCAGATCCCCATGGGGCTAATGGCCCTGGTCTGCCAGCACGGGTATGGAGCCTCGTACCAAGGTCGTCGCTGCGTCGGCGGCTTGTGACACGCCGTCGACCACGAGGAGGTGATGGACCGAACTAGAGGGGGTCAGAGGAGGTCCGCGTGAGCGGAGGGTTTAGGTGGGGGTCCGAGGTAGAAAGCGATGGGCGACGTTAGTGAGTCGAGCGCAGGCGCCCACAAAGGGGGAAGGGTGGCTTGGGTCCAGGGTGCCCGAATGGAAAGGGAAAGTACGGGGGGTTAGGAGAACCCTAAACCCTATAAAAACCTCAAGAAAACCCTAACCGGGGTTTGAGTGGTTAGGGTAGGGTATCGGTGATCTCATCAAGAAAAAAGAATAGCAACCATGAAGGAGGAGGGGAAGAGAAAAATAAATAAACAATGAAATTTCGAGAGAAAAATAAAAATAAATAAATACATAATAAAAATAATTAAAGAAATAAGGAAACAAAATGTGAAGAGGGAAATAATATTTCGGCAGCATTTCCCTACCCCCCATGGGGTCAAGAATGTGCCAAGGGAAAAGAGAGACCAAGATAAACACACTAGGTTTCAAAATGCCACAAATTAAAATTTCAGAAAATAAATAAATAACTAAGTAGATGAGGAGGTGAAGAGAAATTAAGTGTTCGATTTTTCAAAAATTTCGGCATCATTTCGTTACCCCCATGAGGTCGAAGGGTGCCGTCAAGAAGAAAGGCTAAGTAAAATGAGAAAATTTCGGCAGCACTTCGTTACCCCCACAGGGTCAAAATGTGTGCTGAAAGCAAGAATGACTAATTCCTAATCAAATGTAAGGGTGCCGCAAAGAAATTTAAATTTTCAGAATAAATAAAAATAAAATAAAATAAATCAAAAAATGAGAAAAGAAGGTGGGGAATAAGATAATTCGAATTTTTAGAAAAAAAAAGAACTATAAATCAAAAGAAAGATAAAAAGAAGAAAAACAGAAAAAATTCGAAGTTGGGGGGAAGGGGGATGAAAAAGTGAAGGAGAAAAGAAAGAAATAGGTGAGAGAAAAAAAAAGAGTGAAGGGGGAGATGAAGGAAGTGATGGGGTTGTAGTTGGGGGAGAGGAGGGTGAGAAAATGGGAGAGAAAGGGATGGGAAAGGTGGAGAGGGATCAAGAAGCAAAGAGAAAAGAGGAGAAAAAAAAGAAAACAAATTAATAAAATAGAGTAAAATAGTGGGTGGTGGAAGAAAAGGTGGGTTGGGGAGAGGGGTATGAGTAGTGAGAGTGATTAGAAGGAAGTGAGTAAGGTAGAAGAGGAAGAAGTAGAGGGGGGGTGTAAGAGGAGAGAGAAAAGGTAGAGAAAGTAGATTAGTAGGGAGAGGGAAGAGAAAGATGATACCTGGCCCTTGGTGTCTCCAAGGGCACAAGGTATACCAAGACCAGGAGGGTCTTGGCCTTCACTACAACAAGCCAACTAGAGGAGGGAGGGGGCTGAGATCTTGATCAGCCCCTAGCAACAACACTGCAGATCCAAGGTGTGTTGTGTGACCAGACCCTCACCATTGTCGAGCAACCCCTGATTAGGGGGTCTTCACGGTCCACAGCAGGCTGCCACGTGGTACTGCAGATGGCCACGGGCACAGGCAGC